GTTATCTGACACTGCATCAAACCCTTCTACAGAACTGAGATGAGTAGACAAACATCTGGAAAGAGACAACAGGGGTATACAGTTACAGATGCATCTTTTAGTTGCCCTCTTCATCCCAACTACAAATAACCTTTGTCAGGGCACGGTACCCATTCACTATGCAAAGCTAAAACAAATGCAAACTAGAGATGCTGAGACATCTTCTATTATCCTCCTGCATATATGGGAAGAAAAAAATAGATACACCTATACACTGAGTTAGGGGCTGACCTGCTGGAAAGCAGCTCTGCAGAGAGTGGCCTGCGAGTGCTGGTGGACAACAAGTTGCCCAGGAACCAGCAAAGTGCACTTGTGGCTAAGAAGGTCAGTGGTCTCCTGAGGTGCATGATAAAAGAGCATGGCCAGCAGATCAAGGGAGGTCATCCTCCCCCTCTACTCTGCCCTGGGGAGGCCACACTTGGGAGCACTGGGTCCAGTTCTGGGCCCCCGAGTTCAAGAAGGACAGGGAACTACTGGAGAGAGTCCAGCAGAGGCTACAAAGATGATCAAGGGACTGGAGCATCTCTCTGATAAGGAAAGGCTGAGGCCTGGGTCTGTTCAACATGGAGAAGAGAAGACTGAGAGGGGACCTCATCAATGCTGAGCAATATCTAAAGGGTGGGTGGCAAGAGGATGGGGCCAGGCTCTTCTCAGTGGTGCCCAGTGACAGGCAACAAGCACAAACTGGAACACCGTAAATTCCATCTCAAAATGAGGAACAACTTCTTTCCTTTGAGGGTGGCAGAGCCCTGGGAGAGGCTGCCCAGAGAAATTAAGTGCAGTCCTTTTCTCTGGAGATATTGGAAACCTGTCTGGATGTGTTCCCCTCCAACCTGCTCTGGATGACCCTGCTGTGGGAGGGGGTTGGACTAGAAGATCTCTGAAGGCCCCTTCCAACCCCTGCCAGTCTGTGATATGCCTCAGTTCAGCACTGCATCATGCAGACCGTGTCAGCAGTAGAACGAGGAAAATGCCAGCAGGGAGAACACAGTTCTGCATTTTCAGATAAGAATACTCTAGAGAAACTTCACTGAACTTTTAGAGTTGGAAAGGACCATAGAGATTATCTAGTCCAATTTCCCTGCTGAAGCAGGATTGCCTAGAGCTTGTCCGAGCATGTGACTCAGGACTGCATCCAGGTGGGTCTTGAAAATCTCCAGAGAAGGGGACTCCACACCCTCCCTGGGCAGCCTGTTCCAGGGCTCTGTCACCCTCACCATGAAGAAGTTTTGTCATATTTGAGTGGCAACTCCTATGTTCCAACTTGTGGAACATAAGACATCGAAAAGAACTCTAAACTCAATGCTCTACTTCCCCTAGCTTTTCTTTTTTTTTTTATTTTTAAAAATATAGGAGCTAAAACAGCCCAGGTCAACACTATCACAAGACTGTCACAACTAAACTCTTACTAATTGTACATTATCAGGCATTTTACAAAAGAAGCTGCATTTTGGTAAGTCTTATTTAAAAGCAAGAAGAAAGCATTAAGCCTATCTGTATTTTTTTTAAAGACAGAAAAACCACATGGCTGAGCACACCAAAATACTGGAAAACTGGAAACTAGTAATTTGTGTTTCCCTATTTTGGGTTCCAATACTCTGTACTGTCAACACCGAAATGACTTTTTGCATAATGAAGGCAGACTATGAATATGCCAGTTGACTATTCATGACATGGCATGGTTTGGTTTGTTAAAGGCTGGGATTTCAGCCATCCCTATTGGCTTATTTCAACAGAACAATACATACTAATATGGAAAAAAGTGCTCCATTAGAAGACAACTTATACAAATGGATGCTCATGCTCTGATTCTTCACTGACTGCTTCTTGTGCTCCATTTGCGTCAGAACTGCAAGGGAGAGCATAAAGACAGGATCTTGAATTCTATGGAATTCATTCTGTATTTTAGAAAAGTAAACTCACATGCCAACATTTAGTTTCAGGATACACAGGGATTATGCGATTAGAATCCCACTGGCTTGCTGAGAGGCCTCAGCAAGATAACTGCAAATTACTTAGAGGGCTAGTGTCAAAAGGACCTCTGTACTTATTTAGCCTCTGCTCTAGATTACTGACCCACTTATGAAGAGCTAAGCATCCCTGCTGTGCAATGCCAACACCCACTCCATCTGTTTGCTTCTGCTTTCTCGGAACTTCTATTAGTCTGCGTAAGAAGTTGTGTTAATTACCACACGAGCAGCTTTTGCGTGGCACACACGATATCAGCCTCATTCAGCACACAGTCACCTTAACAAACAGCACTGAAACAGGACAATCCTAATCGCAGCAGGATTATCAACAACAAAGTATATGCAGATTTCTGAAGAGGCATTTAATTCCATTTTTGTCCAAGCTGCTCTCAGCTTTGAGAAAAGCTTGTAGGTGTTCAGTTGCTTTGGGCTTCAGTGATGGAAAATTATACTAGAGTGAAGTACTGTAGCAAACTTTCTGGAAATCTCCAAGGGGACCAGAAACTTGTGAAACCACAACTGAAACTTCTGTTGAGGGAATAATGCAACAGTTGCAAACACAAGCATCCCACAACACTTGTCAGTATCTACACTGATTTAAACCTGAAGATAGTTTAAAAAACCCCAACAACCACACAAAATGAAACACAAAACCCCTCCCCACGCAGAAGAACCTTTGGAAAGTTAGCCCAGCTGTCACATCAGAACTGCAGCTCAGCAGCTCAGCACCTCAAACTTCCTGCTGACTAGGAAGAAAAAAAAAAAGTTTCAAATTCAGCACTTTATTATTTATCCCTGCTGATCTGCAGATCTCTAAGACATTCAGTAAAGTGAGTCTCAAGCAGCAGTTTCATTAACTTACTAAATCCAAGAACAAGAATCTCCAAAAGTCATTACAGTACAGAGTTGACATTTGTTCTTTCTTGGGAACCCAGACTGCTGCTGTCAAAGTGAAATAATATCAACAGTACAAAAGCCAACTATGAAACTCAAGAATTCTGTATAGTGCTGCCGGCAACCCTGACATCATCTCACCCCTTAATAGCAAAGCCATTTCTTAGTTTAATTTTAAACCTTGTACAATAGCCAACGCCACCTGAAGAACTCTCCTGCTACCAGCTTACTCCTAAGGTAGTCAAGAAAAGTAAAACCTTGGTCCAGTCCTTTTTACAGCTGACCAGAGGATGGATGAGAACAGCACATCACAGTCCAGCAAGAACCACCATTCACAACAGAGACACTGTACAGGGCCTCACAGAGCTTCTATATTGTTTTAAAGAATTATTTACTATATCTACTTTAACACAAAAGGTCACACAAGCAGGAGGAGATACTCAAATACAGACAACTGGTAGACTCAGCCAACAATGATAAACTGGCACATTGTTCGTATCTTCTAACCTTATATTCAAAATTAAATTTAGACAACTATTCTTCTGAAGTAGCACTATTTATCTCTGTAGGAGAGCTCTAGGAAGTTTAAGAGCTCTAAAAAGTTAGATACGCATTTTATGTGAAGTGAATCTGTGTCCAATATTTAGCTTCTGTCATATGAAACGCCTCCAATTAAGCATTTTTGTCTTTGTCATGGTGAAGACTTGCTAAACACATGCAGTCATCTCATGTCAAGTCAAGAAATACTTATCCCTACAGGTTCCAGTATTAGTCTACTGAAATACAGAAAGACAAGAAAGCTCCAATATTTTATTTCTGATTGTTTTCCATCTGGCTAAAGGAAGAAAGCAGAAAGGAAACCCAGAGAATTTGGGGATTGCTCTAGGGAAGAAAATACAAGCAGAGGGCAGCATTAGAAACAAAATGTGAACAGAAAAGAGAGAACACAATTAAAATAGTCATTAATTGAGAGCGTACCCATGCTTTTCCCAGAAAGCTGCATCAAATCTTAAAGAGAATACTAAAACAATTATCAGATAACAACACATTCAATATATGGAAATCATTACTGACACCAGTCAAATCTATTTTGTGCTATGATTAATACAAAGCTTAAAAGTAGCTGGGATGAATGCACTAATTAAAATTAAGGTCATGAACCAGATGCAGTTCCTCTCCCTGACAAGTTATTTTAAGCTTTGAGGGGCTAAGTGCCCAGAATACTCCTGTGCCACCAGAGATCTTCTAAGGTTTTCATAGAAAAACACACCTGTGAAGTGATTTGACACTTGCGTCTCACATAATGAGCTTACACAGGCACCTTAGTGAGAGCTCTGTACAACACAAATTGAGAACACACTGCAATTTATATATATATGCATATACTTACAAACATAACCCTTGCCTCTCGCACAGCAGTTGCTATGAATTAAATTGAGAAAGTCAAAGGGGTAGAATGCAAGTCGTTCACCTAAATTTATATATGCATCAGAAGTGCAAGAGTAATTCTAGAAATACTCCAAGTTATCAAATAAAAAGCACTTTCATTAACAAATAATAATTACAGTAAAGAAACAGGTCTTCAGACAACCTGCCTCCAAAGATAAAATTTCCCTTCAAAAGGGAGACTGGATCCAGCTTGTACAACTTAAATGAAACTACCTAATACAATTGAAAATAATTAGATGACTGAAGTGTTGACCAAGGAAAAACTAGTCTTTTTTTTTTTTTTTCTTTTAAAGCGGAAGTAAAGGTTCAAGTATGCCCCTCCAATTATAGACAGGGTTATTAAATAAAAGCGTAAGGCAGTGCTACAAACTAAGAGCTGCGCTAGCCACCAACAGAACACATACGAATCAGAATCTACATAGTAATGAAAATTGAAATGTAAAGTTATTATTAGCAATTATGACTTAACAAAGCATGTGATTCAGTTGTAAGCAAGCACCATACAAAACCAAAATAGGTTTTAAAGAATTTTTAAGGAATCAAAAGCATGCAACTGATTTTTTTAGTCATTTGTTCACAGGGCAATTTAAACATCCATTTAGTCATTTCTTACGTGGTAGCAACAATTTCCAACACAACAGCACTTACCTTGGTATTGTCACACATTTCGTATTGCAATTTTGAGTGGTAATTGCCTTCTCAAGCTCATCCAGCTGTCCTGTTTTCTTTAGCTTCTTGACCAAGCTTTTCACTGCTTTTTCACACCACTTTTCCTCCTGACCGTTCTGCTCACCACCACCAGCCCCTCCAGAGCTACCAGCACATTTTTTCCACCCCAGAAGTCTCTTCACAACTGGTGGAGTGAAGGGCAAGATGGACGACATGACTTTCACCGGACAGAACACTCAGCAAGTAATAAATTAGAGATTCCGGTCTGAGCCCTAAAAAAAACAAACCAAAACAGACACATTAGCACTGAGGTTTCACATGACACAAACACTTTGCTTAGGACCTTTCATTACCAAATGCCACAGGACACTGCATCCCAAAACAAGATAGATATTAGTTCAGTAGTCTCCATTATCGTTAGGTCCTTCATCAATAAAATTAAAATGCAAGTTTGCTTCATAGTTTTTAACAGATAACACACATTAAAGTTACCATTGGATTAGACATTTAATTTTTCCTCCAGTCTTTCCTGGCTGAAGCCAACTCTAGAAAACATAGAACTTAACATAAGTCTTGCTTTGCACTAAAACATGGCTGGTTTTAGTCGTTTATTAAAATTTTCCACAAGTGATTGACAAATTGCACACACATATATGCATGTTGTGCCCATCTCCAAATTAATTTAGCAAGCAAAATTGTGTTTGGAATGTCATTTAGTCATTACGGCTTGACAGAAGTCTTCCAACACTCAGCCATTTCACAAGCCTTTTCTCATTTTGTTTGTCATGTTTTAAATAACTACCAATTTTGTTCCACTGGGGATACAGATTTGAAATTTGCTCCTAAGTTTGGTAATAAGCTTGTTCCCATCTTTCTAGTTCAATGGCCTACAAATAAGGAATCTTCTCAACTGGCAGTACTTAAAATCATGAAGTCTTCCAAAATTCATTAAAGGATATTTAAAATCCTAGTTTGCAGACAGCCGAGTAGAACTGTCTGGTTTCGATTTTGATAACCTTTCTTTCAGCATCAACTACCTGATCAGCATCTTTAGATAAAATGAAAGATTAAAAGGGATGCTGAAATTTGGGCTAAGTTTAGCATTCACTGCAATTTTCACTTCAAATCATTTAAAAGAGAAACGATAACCATTTAGGAAAAAAAACCAACAACACACACACCTTGTTTTTACAGGTTCTATTACTCTACTTTTAGGTATTAAAAAATAAGCCCCAAATCAACGATGTTTTTTCCAGACAGACAGCTGTTAGAAATTGCTTGAGGACATAATGGTCTTGTGGCTGGAAGTATGGCACTGAAGTCAAAAACAACTTTATTTCCAGGCAGCAAATAGGTATTTGAACTGCAAAAAGTTACCTTATTTCAGCTGACTGAACTAACTTGTAAATCTTGGAAAATACCTTGTTTTAGCTAAGAGCTAACGCTACCTTCAGGCTACTCAATCTGAGCTTTCAAAGGCAGCTTACACACCTCTCCATCCCATACAGGTACACTCCTCACTTCTATCCAAAATATACCAACTTCATCTTACTGAAATTTCCCATCTGCAAAACAGCACAGTTGATTTGGGATACTTCAGGCTATACTATTCATGGCTAATTTATGCCTTGTCATGTCTTTGTGGTTTCAGCGAGGACCAACAAGTCAACAAATACTAAATTATATTCTACAGGTAACTTTAAATCATAACTTTTCAATTTCCACAAAACAGAACATTCAGTAGGAATGACATTTCAGTTTCAACTAAATTATACCTCCATAAACCAGCTTCTGAGAGCACCTAAAAATATGACTGAAGCAAGAATTGTAGTTTTCTGGGGAGAAGGAGACAGAGGCTCCAATTAACAAGGACTCAAGACTGACGTTGGTAACTTTATGCAAGTGATTCAAAATATTCCTAAATGAAAGAATCACAGAATGGTTCGGGTTGGAAGGGACCTTAAAGACCATCCAGTCCCACCCTCCTGCCATGGGCAGGGACACCTCCCACCAGACCAGGTTGCTCCAAGCCCCCTCCAACCTGGCCTTGAACCCCCCCAGGGATGGGGCAGCCACAGCTTCTCTGGGCAACCTGTTCCAGTGCCTCACCGCCCTCACAGGAAAGAATTTATTCCTTATATCCAATCTAAATCTAGTGTCTTTCAGTTTAAACCGCTGCCCCTTGTCCTGTCAGGGGAGGCCTTGGTAAAAAGTCAAAGCATCCGTTTCCACACAACACTATAACGTGAAGAGAACTTCCATTCTTTCAATAATGTTAAATTATTACAGAATTGTCCCCAGTATTTCAGACTGCAGATTTTGCAGACTGCAAAAACATTGCACTGCAGCAAACACAAGAAAAATAAACTCAATATCCAACATTTTTCAAATTAAACACTGAATAGGACAGTCAGGGTACAGCTTCATAGGGACCCCAGCCAACACAAGAGCTTCCTGTCACAGGAAGCCCAGGTCTCCTTCCTTTCTTTCCTGTGCCACTACCACTAATACCTTTCCACAAAGGCTCAGCTAGATAACCAAGTTAAAACCTATCAAGTTTGGGGTTTTTTTTGCTGAGTTAGTTCTCTTTCAGGTTAACAAGTTGCAGTGGCTCACACACGGTACTCTAAGTGCTTGAGCTGATGTCAACATCATGTAAAAGCATGTACCTGGGCAAATATTCTAATTTAGGTAATTTATTTTGGGAGTGAAACAGATTAGAGCCCTTATGGAGTAGACAGAGTAGCTCCAGAGATAAAACAGGAGGCTTCCATGGCCTCCACTGTTTTAAGAAATGCTCGCACTACCTTCTGAGACAGAGAACAGGAGTCAATCAAGAACTTTCTAAAAGACTTCAAGTTTTGAGCAAGGCCAACATTAGATCCTTCAGAGGCCTATGCAAAAAATTCAAAAAGACCAAAGTAAAGAGAATAGCCAATTTTGCTGCAAATATCCCATTTTAAACACTAGCAATTGTTGGTGTAGTATCTGAACCTTAAATTCAATGTTGACAGATGTAGGCAACAAAGTACCAGCATCATTGCTGATCCACACACCAATTCTTCTCCCATTTATGAAGCTCACTAACACATAATATAAGCATTTCCTGTTCTTTAACTTCAAATTTGACACCTTTCTATGCCTCAGAATACTCCTTTGATTGTCAGCCTTACAAAACACACACTTCAGTAGGGTCTCATTTACCATCAAGGTAAATTCTCTATTCTTCCAGGCCCTCTAAACATTCTTAATGCTTTTATCTTATTTTTCAGCTTTACAATACCCCTTGTGATGAGGTGTCCCATCTTGCACTATTCTCTCCCTTAAGATAACAGTGACCTATATGTCATATTCTGTATTCTGATATTTTTATTTTTGTTTTAAACTAAGATTTGCCTTTCTGCTTCAAATGCACATTGAGTGATTTAAGTCTTACAGCAGGAAAGACTTTAGAAACCCCATTCACTACAGCTTTTCTTTATATTTGAATTCTCATACTATTCTGGCATACTCAAGAGGCAAATAAATAAATAAATGGTTCTTTTCCCACTTCCAAAAAACTGTCACCTCAGACCTAACTAACTAGAAGTTTCCAGATATAATACTTAGTTTTAACCAGTTCCCTTACAGATGTTTGCCCATCCAGGTTCTGCAGTACAAGTTGATTTTCTACCCCTAAGAAAATTAGCTTTAAAAAGAAAAAAAAATAAATACAAAGGGACATGCTTAAAGAGCCCTTTATTAAAATGATTATTGCAGCTTAGCAGCTATTTAAAAAACCCACACAACATGCACCCCAGCTGCAGACTAAGACTCTGGGAGGCTTAAACTAACTTCTTCCTTCTAGCCATTGTTTTGCCATGTCAGGGATTTGCCAGGAGTATCAATAAGAATTTCACTAAATTATTCCAGTAGTGGCCCCGGATCTTTCAAAGGCTGAGCAGAGAGAATGTGACACAAGTAGGACAGGACTTCATTCAGCTTAATACTTTAGCCAACTGCAAGGAGTACTCAGAAGAGAATATTTCAGCCAGTTTTAATTATGCAAAAGTGACACTCCGCTCCCAGCCTGGAGGAGGCACTGGTTGAATTCTGAGCAATTTTGATAAATGCAAATTATGCAAGGAAAGAGCAATAAATAAATCAAGAAGAAATATCCCTAATAACACATGCTACTCAAGGAAAGCACATGAGCATGGCTCTTTTATGCAGCTATTCTCCTTGTAATACTTCAGCATCTTAAACTGCTACAGAGGAAATTAAAGGCCACAACTCAACCTATTCCTTTTAGCAGCCATTTATGGACCTGATGTCCACTAACTCATCTAATCACTTTTTGACATGCCTCCACATCCTCTCGTGGCAGACAGTACCAGAGTTTAACAGCCCACTGCCTCAAGAAGCACTTTTAGCAGTTTTAATCTGATCTCTTCTTAGCATCAGAAAGTGGCCCTTGTTCTACCACTGCAAGCTTTGCTGAAGAACTGTTTGTACTCCTCTCACCCAAAAGCTTCATGATTCTATACATTTCAATCACATCCCTTCCCTCAAATAGAGGGCTATCAGCCTTTTGTCACAAAGAAAGTATCTGAACACAGCTCATATAGTTAGGGAAGCTCCTCTGGACAGATGCCAAGCTTTAAAAGAGCTTTACTACAATTAAATTACAAGTACTTGAAGACATTGCACAAGGAGTGATCTAAAGACCCCAGAAAAAGTTTTATCAGTCTATGGTTATCTTTTTGGTCATATTACCCTAAAGCTCTCAACAATGTAATTAAAAGTACAAAACCAGAAATCCACACCTCATGAGGAATTTGTATACAGGAGGCAGACAGCACGTGTCTATTGCTGAACATCTAGCAAGAGCTCAAATAAAAATGAAGAGCCCTAATTTGCATTGTGTCCTAACTGTATCCACCCAGACAGCCTCAGACAGCATGTTTATACTGATGGGTTTAGGAGTCACTGTTGCAGCTCGATTTTCAGCAGCAAATCCCATTTCAACTCATCACCTGTAACTTTTGCCTTCAAACTGACACAGTAACATAATCTTTATTCCTAAAGAAGTCATCTTCTCATACACTGTCACTGTTGACAGTAGCCTCTTGCTAAAAGAATTCCTCTCTTCTTTTTCTTTGTACACTTTCTTTACCCGCAAAAACATATAAAAAAGCATTTTATATATGTTTATACGTTTTTTATAAACGGACCCATTAAACTGTCTTTGCCAATGCTGCAAGAAACATTTCCACACTGCTAAAATGGCCGC